TTAATTTGCATTGTTCTCTTTGATATGTAGCCAAATTTTCATTGAAATCGGAGACAAAAAAAATTTTTCTCAAAAAATTTGGAAGGCTATACCCTTTCCTTTTTTTTGGGAAGATAAAAGTTTAAAAAAATTTACGTATGTATAGAATGGAACGTCAGGATCTCAAAAAGATACTCTGTTCCCCTCTAACAAGACTAATTAAAAAGTTGGAGCTCATTTCTTAAAAAGTATCCAACATAGAGAGACGCAGACACCAGCAAGACATTTTAAATCGTTTACTGTAACGTAGTGCCGAATTTCATGAAGATCAGAGCAGAATTAACATTTTTCTTTACTTACTCGGTTTCCGTTTCAAACTACTAAAAGTTGCAATTTCGTTGACAAAATTTTGGTATCAGGATAGCAGAAGAGCAAGGAGATATTTAAGTTCCTCAATCAAATTACTATAAAATTCAGGGTAACGCAAAATTAAGTTTCTTCATGAAATTGGCATTGCCATTGTGGGTAACGCAAAATTAACGGATATATAAACTTGAATATCTCCTAAACGTCTTAGGATAGAGACGAACGACAAAGAGCACTCTATTATATCCGTTCGGCTCTACGTTTTGAGCATGTTTAGAGAATGATTCGATTATTATTAACTGAGGAAAATTAAAAAAAAATAAAACCCTTGTCAATAAGAAGCAACTGAATCCACTCCTTAATTTGCATTGTTCTCTTTGATATGTAGCCAAATTTTCATTGAAATCGGAGACAAAAAAATTTTTTCTCAAAAAATTTGGAAGGCTATACCCTTTCCTTTTTTTTGGGAAGATAAAAGTTTAAAAACATTTACGTATGTATAGAATGGAACGTCAGGATCTCAAAAAGATACTCTGTTCCCCTCTAACAAGACTAATTAAAAAGTTGGAGCTCATTTCTTAAGAAGTATCCAACATAGAGAGACGCAGACACCCGCAAGACATTTTAAATCGTTTACTGTAACGTAGTGCCGTATTTCATGGAGATCGGAACAGAAATAAAATTTTTCCATACTTACTCGGTTTCCGTTTCAAACTACTAAAAGTTGCAATTTCGTTGACAAAATTTTGGTATCAGGATAGCAGAAGAACGATGAGATATTTAAGTTCCTCAATCAAATTACTCTAAAATTCAGGGTAACGCAAAATTAGGTTTCTTCATGAAATTGGCATTGCCATTGTGGGTAACGCAAAATTAACGGATATATAAACTTGAATATCTCCTAAACGTCTTAGGATAGAGACGAGCGACAAAGAGCACTCTATTATATCCGTTCGGCTCTACGTTTTGAGCATGTTTAGAGAATGATTCGATTATTATTAACTGAGGAAAATTAAAAAAAAATAAAACCCTTGTCAATAAGAAGCAACTGAATCCACTCCTTAATTTGCATTGTTCTCTTTGATATGTAGCCAAATTTTCATTGAAATCGGAGACAAAAAAATTTTTTCTCAAAAAATTTGGAAGGCTATACCCTTTCCTTTTTTTTGGGAAGATAAAAGTTTAAAAAAATTTACGTATGTATAGAATGGAACGTCAGGATCTCAAAAAGATACTCTGTTCCCCTCTAACAAGACTAAATAAAAAGTTGGAGCTCATTTCTTAAAAAGTATCCAACATAGAGAGACGCAGACACCACCAAAGAGATTTTAAATCGTTTACTGTAACGTAGTGCCGAATTTCATGAAGATCAGAGCAGAAATAACATTTTTCCATTCTTACTCGGTTTCCGTTTCAAACTACTAAAAGTTGCGATTTCGTTGACAAAATTTTGGTATCAGGATAGCAGAAGAGCGAGGAGATATTTAAGTTCCTCAATCAAATTACTATAAAATTCAGGGTAACGCAAAATTAAGTTTCTTCATCAAATTGTCATTGCCATTCAGGGTAACGCAAAATCGACGGATATATTAACTTGAATATCTCCTAAACGTCTTAAGATACAGACGAACGACAAAGAGCACTCTATTATATCCGTTCGGCTCTACGTTTTGAGCATGTTTAGAGAATGATTCGATTATTATTAACTGAGGAAAATTTAAAAAAAATAAAACCCTTGTCAATAAGAAGCAACTGAATCCACTCCTTAATTTGCATTGTTCTCTTTGATATGTAGCCAAATTTTCATTGAAATCGGAGACAAAAAAATTTTTTCTCAAAAAATTTGGAAGGCTATACCCTTTCCTTTTTTTTGGGAAGATAAAAGTTTAAAAACATTTACGTATGTATAGAATGGAACGTCAGGATCTCAAAAAGATACTCTGTTCCCCTCTAACAAGACTAATTAAAAAGTTGGAGCTCATTTCTTAAGAAGTATCCAACATAGAGAGACGCAGACACCCGCAAGACATTTTAAATCGTTTACTGTAACGTAGTGCCGTATTTCATGGAGATCGGAACAGAAATAAAATTTTTCCATACTTACTCGGTTTCCGTTTCAAACTACTAAAAGTTGCAATTTCGTTGACAAAATTTTGGTATCAGGATAGCAGAAGAGCGAGGAGATATTTAAGTTCCTCAATCAAATTACTATAAAATTCAGGGTAACGCAAAATTAAGTTTCTTCATGAAATTGGCATTGCCATTGTGGGTAACGCAAAATTAACGGATATATAAACTTGAATATCTCCTAAACGTCTTAGGATAGAGACGAGCGACAAAGAGCACTCTATTATATCCGTTCGGCTCTACGTTTTGAGCAAGTTTAGAGAACGATTCGATTATTAATAACAGAGGAAAATTAAAAAAAAATAAAACCCTTGTCAATAAGAAGCAACTGAATCCACTCCTTAATTTGCATTGTTCTCTTTGATATGTAGCCAAATTTTCATTGAAATCGGAGACAAAAAAATTTTTTCTCAAAAAATTTGGAAGGCTATACCCTTTCCTTTTTTTTGGGAAGATAAAAGTTTAAAAAAATTTATGTATGTATAGAATGGAACGTCACGATCTCAAAAAGATACTCTGTTCCCCTCTAACAAGACTAATTAAAAAGTTGGAGCTCATTTCTTAAAAAGTATCCAACATAGAGAGACGCAGACACCACCAAAGAGATTTTAAATCGTTTACTGTAACGTAGTGCCAAATTTCATGAAGATCAGAGCAGAAATAAAATGTTTCCATACTTACTCGGTTTCCGTTTCAAACTACTAAAAGTTGCGATTTCGTTGACAAAATTTTGGTATCAGGATAGCAGAAGAGCGAGGAGATATTTAAGTTCCTCAATCAAATTACTATAAAATTCAGGGTAACGCAAAATTAAGTTTCTTCATGAAATTGTCAATGCCATTCAGGGTAACGCAAAATCGACGGATATATAAACTTGAATATCTCCTAAACGGCTTAGGATAGAGACGCACTACAAAGAGCACTCTATTATATCCGTTCGGCTCTAAGTTTTGAGCAAGTTTAGAGAACGATTCGATTATTAATAACTGAGGAAAATTAAAAAAAAAATGAAACCCTTGTCAATAAGAAGCAACTGAATCCACTCCTTAATTTGCATTGTTCTCTTTGATATGTAGCCAAATTTTCATTGAAATCGGAGACAAAAAAAATTTTTCTCAAAAAATTTGGAAGGCTATACCCTTTCCTTTTTTTTTGGGAAGATAATAGTTTAAAAAAATTTACGTATGTATAGAATGGAACGTCAGGATCTCAAAAAGATACTCTGTTCCCCTCTAACAAGACTAATTAAAAAGTTGGAGCTCATTTCTTAAAAAGTATCCAACATAGAGAGACGCAGACACCACCAAAGAGATTTTAAATCGTTTACTGTAACGTAGTGCCGAATTTCATGAAGATCAGAGCAGAATTAACATTTTTCTTTACTTACTCGGTTTCCGTTTCAAACTACTAAAAGTTGCAATTTCGTTGACAAAATTTTGGTATCAGGATAGCAGAAGAGCAAGGAGATATTTAAGTTCCTCAATCAAATTACTATAAAATTCAGGGTAACGCAAAATTAAGTTTCTTCATGAAATTGGCATTGCCATTGTGGGTAACGCAAAATTAACGGATATATAAACTTGAATATCTCCTAAACGTCTTAGGATAGAGACGAGCGACAAAGAGCACTCTATTATATCCGTTCGGCTCTACGTTTTGAGCAAGTTTAGAGAACGATTCGATTATTAATAACTGAGGAAAATTAAAAAAAAATAAAACCCTTGTCAATAAGAAGCAACTGAATCCACTCCTTAATTTGCATTGTTCTCTTTGATATGTAGCCAAATTTTCATTGAAATCGGAGACAAAAAAAATTTTCTCGAAAAATTCATGGTCTCCGATTGAGCTGAAAACCGGACAGTGGACAGTATGCCCACTAAAACGTTAAGAAAAAACGTCCGTTTCTCGCTAACCTAAGTGGTCAAAATTAAAGGCTTGTTTTGTGATAATTAGCAAACTTAGAGAACCGCATCTGACTTTTTTCAAACGTACTTGTCTTCTACTTACTGCATGCAACATTTCGTCCAAATCGGAGCAACTTTTTCCAACTTTTGAACGAAGAGAGATATTTAGTAGCAGACACCACTCCGACATTACGTTTTACATACTGATTCTCTGTACCAAATTTCATCGAAATCGGAGACGAAAAAAATTTTATGCAAAAATTTTTGAAGGCTATACACACACACACACACACACACACACACACATTATTTCTGCTCCGATCTTTGTGAAATTTGGCAGAGTTTTACAGAAAGCAATTTAAAATGTCTGGTTGGTGTATGCTTCTAAGTACTTTAAATCCTGTAGGCCCAAACGCTTGATTAAGGTCTACTACCACCGACAAATTACGTCTCCCTGGTTTATTTCCACGATTTATTTAATACATCTGCCTGCGTTATTTACTTATGTTTCAATGACTATTTTAATATGTCTTATTGTTATTATCTGATAATAGATGGCGGCTATAATCCATTTGGTATGTCGATTAACAGTAATAGGACATTTTAGGAAAATGAAACCACACAATCACGAATATTTTCTCTTTACTCATAAATACTATCACAATATTACATAAATATTAAAAAATATCATTTCACTCAGTGCAATTATTTGGCTCGCAGAGACCAACATCAAGTCTTTCTCTCTTTCAAACACGAATGCCACATTTATATTGTTCTTTTAAAAATGCAAATTTGGGTCCCTCCGTTAACGAATTCACATTCAACACTATCTATATACAAACATTTTTAACTATGTACAACAAAAGACAGACGAACTGATCTCAGGTACTTTCACCGTTTGTTTTGGTTTTTAAATACATTATACGTCAAGAAAATAAAATTGCGGAACGAGTTAAAAGTAAATAAAGTCTATACTATTTACATTACGTTTTGTTAGTACCACAATTTTAGTCGGTCAATAAAAACGACACCTGTCAGTTGGCCTGACAATTTAATTTATAGTGAAAGCACCGTTGTTACAACATTATCTATCTCTCAATTTACATAAAAACTATCACAGCAAGTTTGTTATGGCGCCTCCGAACCAAGCCATAATCATTGGCAAAAGGTACGCTATCAACGCTCTAGTAAGCGACATATTGTTCGTGTTATTGGCGTTTCCGCTAGATGTCCTCACGACTTCGGGCACTCGCGTACTACTTGGCGTCGAAGTAGGATACGCGCGGTTATCGTCTTCGTCCAGCTTGCCTTTGGGTTCCACGAAGGTGATGTCTTTGTCTTCTTCGTCGATTTCGACCTGTAACAAATAAAAAGAAATAATTCAGCGAGAATAAAAAATGGCATATATGGCAAATGTCTGTGTCGTGTGTGTTGTATAGGGTGTGTCGTGTGTTGTATAGGGTGTGTGGTGTGTGTGTGTGTGGTGTGTGTGTGTGGTGTGTGGTATGGTGTGGTTTGGATCCAAAATCTTAAGTAAATATTTATCGATAATTAAAATGAAAAAAATATCTACCTTTCCTTCTTCTTCCTCCTCCAGACCATCTCCGGATCCAGATCCGCTGCCATCCAAAATTTCCTCCGTATCATCGATCATTTCGACCTCTTGACCCTGATGCGCTTTCCTTAGCTTGTCAGTCAATCCCTGGAACACGTACGTTTGCTCGTTCAACACGGTGTTGTCGGTGAGTTCGATTTTCGGTTGGTACGACGATGCGTTGTTCGGGGAAGTACCGTTCCAGCACTGATTCGAAGTTGTGGCGTTGACGGAGTTCAAGATCGATAAGTTGTTGCAGTACTGGTACGGCAGGTTCACCCAGAACAGTTTGGTTTCTTTGATTTTCTAAAAAAAAAAAAAAAAATAAATGTTAATGAATGAAAAGTATTAGTAAAATAGTTTATGTAGGTATCTAATGTTGCAGTATTAGAAATGATTGTTGTACTATATTACTTTATCATGCCTAATGATGACCTTCTTATGCAACATATCAAGTGAATCTATTGGCAGATCTTGTGGTCAACAGACTTTGTGTATTTCTACTTTAAAAAGTAACTTATTTTCAAAGGTTTAGCACGTTGACTGTCACGGTAATTTCCATTAATTTTATTAAAAACTAATTATAATACATAGTAATTAGAAAAAAGCATGCAGAATGTGTTTTAGTGCAAAACCTAAATAGTACCGTACGAGGTCAAATAAAAAAGACCTTATTGGACACATTACAAATATGAATTTAAACAAATATTGTTGTGAAGATCACTTCAATGTATGTTGCTACGTTAAAGAATAAAGGAAAAATGAAAGCAGTTGATTTCTTTTTAAGTAATCAATTAATTTCATTTAAAGCGGTATATATAAAATATAATGAAATGGACAATTAATAGAAAATAAATGAAACGAAAGGGAAATAAAATTGAGAATCGTGAATTTAATATATCGTTGATCGCAAATCAAAATACGAAAGGTCAGAATTATCTGAACTAAGTTGAATAATTTTGAAAATTCGAAAACAAATCTCAATAATTCCCCTACAACTTATTAAGACCATCCCCGAACTTCAACGGTGAAAACAAATACTTGGAAATATGAAAAAAAGGCTGTCGCTACCTGGATTCGATTCCCGACATTTTTGTTCTGTACGTAAATGTTATTACCACTAGACTATGACAACATTGACTGTCGAGATTTCTAGACAGCAATTTGATGTACTAATTCGAGACAGAGGCTTATTTTGAAATCGTCAAATACCTCTATAATAGCATCGGTATGTATGAGTACATAGCAGAGATAACCAGGAGATGTAACTATTAACAAATATCGTGCGGCCGTGAATAAGACATATTCTAAGGGACACAGTAGGGTATAATCACAATATATTGTGGGTATAATATCCGCTGTTGTCATTGTTAGTAAAGTGTATGTATTAAAATATTCGCTCAAGAAAACGATTCACCTCCCACTCTTTTGTCACATAGCTGAATTTTTTACAGATGAAAGGTCATGATAAGGTAACCCTTTTTCCGGAGTTAATACAAAATTAGACTGTGCAGAAGGGCACTATCATCAAAAATCCAGATATTGATACCACCGAATAGAGAAAAAAATACTAATTTTTTGGTCAAATGCACAATAAAATCTTTGTAGGGAGTAATTGTTTATACTTATTTAAAAAAAATCATTTGCATTGGCACTTACGGCCGAAAAAAAATATAAACGTAAATATCTTGGTTTTAGCCCTTCAAAAATTTAGTTAAAAAGTCGTCTTTTTTAAATATACCACTCATTTAACAAAAAACGAAGGCCTAAATGAAAAAAAAAAAACATTCTTTATAAAATTTTTGCTTATGTGTTGACAAGGTAACAGAGTAAACACTATATTTTTTGCTTTTGAATTAACAAAGATATAACAATAAACGATGAGAGATGTCATAGGTTTATGCTGTAATTAATTCTCACCGTCAAATTTACCGACTATCAGTGTATCTTTCTCTTCACCTTCAAACGTAGCATAGCTCTGTTTCTCTCTACGTGCGGGCTGATGTATCACATTATTGATATGGTAGGATTTTTAATTTTTTTTATTATAAAACTTCTTGTTATGTTCCATAGGGCAATGTGTCATATTGTTATCTGTTTTTACTAAAGAATTAATAAGTGTATGTGTTATATATTAAATTACCTAATAAATTGGGAAAAAATATAGACATTTTTGCATCTTTATTATATCTACATTCATCCTGTTGCAGCTAAATATATTTGGGTAAGTTATAAGTTTTCGTTTAAAATTTTAATTACGGATTTGTTGCTGCAAGTAGCAGAGACAAAAATTATATCAAAATAGGAAAGCCCAAAAGTTGCATATCATTTAAAGAATATGCTCATATATTTGTAAACATTATTTTTAGAAATAAATTTAATGCTCAAATGATAGATGTGGTATTTGATCATTATAAAGGACATTCTATCAAAAATACAACACGTCAAAAGAGAGGATTTCAGAAATAAATTGATATAGAAATTGACTGACCCAATATTCCACTTCCGCAACAATAGAACTTGTTTATTCATTAGATATTTAACAAAAGACGTTTAACACATTTTCTGCCAGAGCAACTTCTTCAAAACTCCATTCAGCAAAAGCATATTCAATTTCTAACTAGTGGTGGATTCGCGAAAATCAATAAATATGGAAAGAATTTTGAACCATCAAAAGACGATTTTTTTAAATTCAAATTACGAAGACGCTAATAATCGTATCTCATTGCACATATTGTCGGCCAAAAATTCGGTGCATTCACGCTGCATTATTTATTGCAACGATACAGATGTCTTATTAATTTATTTTAAAAAGTTTTTGACTAAAGATATATGGTTCAGAACAGGGCGAGGAGACTCAAGACGATTTCTAGCAGTACATTATTTAAATTTAGATGAAAACCTTCTAAAAAATATGCCTGCTTTTCATTCTGACCGGTTGTGATACAACCATTTAATTGTCCGGCATTGGGAACAAAACCTGTTGGAAAACCTACCTTGAAAACCATTACTTTTTGGATGGATTTGGCACTGATCAGTACTCTGAAAACATATTCTCTAATCTTGAAAGAATTTTCCTAAAAATGTATTCAAAACTGCCATCGCTAAATTACCACCGACTGAAGACGCCCTAAGACTACATTGTTTAAGATGTTTTTACCAGCTAAATATTTGGCTAACCTCTTTAAACCCAGATGCAGCTTCCTAATATTGAAGAGTATGGATGGAAAGTAGATCAAGATGGAAGTCTGATACCCACTTTTAAGACTCTGCCCGACCTGCCACCAGACATAACAGAACTTACATCATGCAAATGCAAAAAACATACTATACAATATTCTAACAAAATTATTCTGTTCTAGACTGTGGAAGCAAAATTTGCAAATGCAGGAAAAAAAATATTTACTGTATCGGTTCCTGCACCTGTATGGCACAGAAAAACTGCAGAAATAGTTTGACCACAGTCGCTAATGTTTTGGAAAATGTTGATTCGTGTGATGAATCTGATTTTGATTAGTTTGAAAGTCTTGTAATTATAAATTTTAATATTACTAATTTATGCTTTATATACTTCCTTCCAATTATTATTATTATTATTATTATAATTTATTTATATTGTATTTTGCAAAGCAATAGCCTTACTGTTTATAATTGATAATTCAATAAATACCTTTAATAAATAGTTTATATTTTCTTATTTTCATTTTACATTAAAAATAAAAAAGAAATCTTGAAGTAATAAGTACACCCTATTAAACATGGTGGATAAATCAATAATCCCTGTATAAAATAATATAAGAGGGGTCAAACTGATTGCATACATTTCAATACTGAGATAGATGCATAAAGAGTCGATAGGCTCTGCCTTTAATGTTTGCTTTCTAGTAAAACCATGACATCACTAATGGTTTATTGCTATATTTTTGTTAATTTAAAAGCAACAAATATGAGGAAAGTACTTTTACCTTGTCAATACATAGGCGAAACTTTTATAAAGAATAGTTTTTTTTCATTTAGGCCTTCGTTTTTCGTCAAATGAGAGGTATATTTCTAAAAGAAGATATTTTATACAAATTTGTAGACGGTTGAAACTGAGACATTTAAATTTTTTTTTCGATCATAAGGGCTAATGTAAATGATTTTTTTAAATAATTATAAAAAAATACTTCCTACAAAGACTTAATTGAGCATTAGAACAAAAAATAGGCATTTTTAACCAAATTAGAAGTAATTTCATTAAATTAGATGTAATAATTTTCAACAAATTCCAAAACCTAGTGATGTTAGATTGGAAGTGGCAACAGGGCTTACACCGGTAAGAAAAGTTACGTTAAGTAGTAAATGCTCGGGCAGTTATTCATTGATAAAACTATGTAAAATTCTTCACTGTATCCCTTCTTTTACTTATCACCTTTCGTCGCCTCGCCCCGCTTCTAGAAATAGAATGTTTTGAGTGCGAACTGTTCTGGGCACCATGAATATTATATTTTATGAATGACTTCTTATATCTCTGTTATCTCTGGTACATAGTATATTGAAAACTTAACTCAGTGCCAACACAAATTACGTCATATAGCGTATATAGACAGAAATTTCACTTAAAAAAATCCGAACTGTAAAGTGGCTATTATAACTCAAGTATAAACATTTTAACGAGGTAATAATAAATACTATTCACAAATTAGTACTTTGATATTTTTTAGCGGTTTATAAAAGTCCAGTCATCGAAAATTTATTTGTTCTATCCGATTCGATTATTTAAAAAAAAAAATAAGATCTTTTAACCATTTCTCTTTAGGTTGAAAAGATTTATTATTTTTTAAACTTATAAACATTGTATCAGTAAATTATACGAATTCAGTAGCGTAGCGAGTGTTAAATGAAATTTATAAAAGCAGGTAAACTGTTGAAAAAAGATTTCAAAAATTGATGCTTTACGGTCAAGTGTTAGGCCACTCCGAGAACAGTAGCGTTTCTTGGGCGCCATCTTGAAGAGGCGTAAGAAAATAAAAATTAAATTAGTGGAATAATGAAAATGGTTCTAAATTCGGACTGACTCCTGGTTTTTTTAGAAGCTTAATTCGTTGTAAATATAATCCAGTGCTTAAAATCATTTAAAGGTTTATAAAACTGTTATAGTTGGTAATATTGACTGTCACCTAATTCTCATTTGTCAATGTCAAGTGTCATTTTTTAGAAGTTGTTAGTAATTCGAAGTTGTTTTATTATAAGTAGAATTCGTTTTGTCGTTTTGTAATCAGCCATTTTGTGTTTATAATGTTTATAATCTATTAATCACTCATTGAGAAAATTTATTATGATTTTGGCGAAGTACTTTAACAAGAGTCTTTAATTAAAATGTTTATAATTAGACACTCTATATTGTTTATTTTATTTCTAAATTAATTTTTAATAATACTAATAACTCGCGAATTAATAGTTACTACGCCAATGTCTCCGAATGCAAATCCGAATGATAACATCGACGATACCAGATTTATTTTTTGTTAACTGAAAAACCGACATTCCACGATAGGTAGATAATTCCAATCCGTTTGATCTAAAACGAGAATTAGCTTGGTTCAATAAACTAATTAATAAAGTATGCGATTTTGTTTGTTTTTACACACTTATCCTTTTGGTGAGACTTGTTTATGGCGTTTGGCTGGTCGCAAAATGATAAGCAGATGATTATGAAGCGCTATAAATAATATGATTCATTTTAGCAAGGTAAAAGTTACAGGGGATGTAAACTAAATTCCCCTAAGAAAATTAACTGGAAAAAGAGATAGGGATCAGCTAGTGGGTAATGTGTACCAAAACTACAAGTTTTTCGGCCTTTTAAGATTTAAATATCTCAACGGAATGGACATAAATTGTAAAATTTTGAAAGAAATTGTTGAAATATAGTGTATAACAGCTATGGAAGCGAAATATGAAGAAATAAACATCAAGAAAAAAGGGTAGCAGAGATGGAATTAAATCAGGAAGAATAAAAAATGGTTTTTTGGTTGAAAGAATGAAAATTGATGAAAATAGTAAGAAGATTGATAAGATTCAAAAGAATAATAATAAAATTTAGAAAAGTAGAAAACAAATATAAATAAGATAGAATTCAAGGAAGAAGATACAATTGAAGGAAGAAGATAAAATTCAAGAAGATAAAATGCAAGGAAGAAGATAAAATGCAAAGAAGAAGATACAATTCAAGAAAGAAGATAAAATTCAAGGAAGAAGATAAAATGCAAGGAAGAAGATAAAATGCAAGGAAGAAGATAAAACGCAAGGAAGAAGATAAAATGCAAAGAAGAAGATAAAATTTAAGAAAGAAGATAAAATTCAAGAAAGAAGATAAAATTCAAGAAAGAAGATAAAATTCAAAGCAGAATATAAAATTCAAGGAAGAAGATAAAATTCAAGGAAGAAGATAAAATGCAAGGAAGAAGATAAAATGCAAGGAAGAAGATAAAATTCAAGAAAGAAGATAAAATTCAAGAAAGAAGATAAAATTCAAGAAGATAAAATTCAAAGCAGAAGATAAAATTCAAGGAAGAAGATAAAATTCAAGGAAGAAGATAAAATTCAAGGAAGAAGATAAAATTCAAGAAGATAAAATGTAAGGAAGAAGATAAAATTCAAGAAAGAAGATAAAATTCAAGAGAGAAGATAAAATTCAAAGCAGAAGATAAAATTCAAGGAAGAAGATAAAATTTAAGGAAGAAGATAAAATTCAAGGAAGAAGATAAAATTCAAGAAAGAAGATAAACTTCAACGAAGAAGATACACTTCAAGAAAGACGATAACATTCAAGGAAGAAAATAAAATTCAAGGAAGAAGATAAAATTCACGTAAGAAGATAAAATTCAAGAAAGAAGATAAAATTCAAGGAAGAAGATAAAATTCAAGGAAGAAGATAAAATTTAAGGAAGAAGATAAAATTCAAGGTAGAAGATAAAATTCAAGGTAGAAGATAAAATTCAAGGAAGACGATACAATTCAGGGAAGAAGATAAAATTCAAGGAAGAAGATAAAATTTAAGGAAGAAGATAAAATTCAAGGTAGAAGATAAAATTCAAGGTAGAAGATAAAATTCAAGGAAGACGATACAATTCAGGGAAGAAGATAAAATTCAAGGAAGAAGATAAAATTTAAGGAAGAAGATAAAATTCAAGGAAGAAGATTATATTCAAGAAAGAAAATAAAAGTCAAGGAAAAAAAAATAAAATTTAGGGAAGATAAAATTCAAGAAATAATATATAATTCAAGGAAGAAGTAGAAGAACAATACTAAAACGCTAAAAAATAAAATTTCAAAAATATTTTTTTTTAAATTGTTTCATTAAAAAAAAAATAAAAAAATTACAAAAATAAAAATTTTGATTTAATTCTGTTAAACTTTTTAGATTATATTTTTATTTAAAATTAGTTAATTTTTAAATTATTTTGTTTATAGTGACTTTTTAGATATAAAGAAGATAAACACACAACAAAATAGAAGACAATTTTTAAATTTGCTAAAGAAATCTCCAGATATTAATTTTCATAAATTTTTATTTGGTGAGTATTTTATAAATTTCTGGAAATTAAACCTATCCCAAAATAGAAATTTGGAAATTGAAGTAGATAAAACCAAATCATTAAATATCGATTTATATTGTTGCGTAAAAGCCTATCCTTTATTTACTCCTTCCCGCGGTATAAAGTCTAGCGCCGGCATATAAAGACAAATGCACCGCTTCTCAAAATAACCAGAAAAAGCGGTAAGTGGCCGTTGAGTCATAGAGATGGAATTTCGGACGTTCGAGAACGTCTAGAAACTACTAGTACAGAGTTGGCTTTGTATAAATAACGCAAGTTCGTCGATGGACGAACAGATTCAAATAAAGTGTTGGACAGAAAAGATAAATTGTAACAATTAAACTATCGTAATAATATGTTCTGTAATCCTTATTAAATATTAATTCTTTTTAAACTAATATTTAGAAACTATGCGTGTTATGATTAAATTTACCTGTTTGATATCAGTGATGATCTTCTCCAAGGGCGTCGACTGATTCTCGACGCTCGTCGCCATCGTTTTCTTGTGCTTCTTCCTTCCGGGTATCTTCATGGGTTCGATCTTTATCTCCATGGTGGGATTATCCTGAGCGGTGTCCTTGTAATCGGCTTTCCTTTTCGGTCTGGTGAACGTCGGTTTGCCACAGAGCGTGTAAATTTTCTTCGACACTTCCGTACCGCTTTCTTGGAAGTTCATGATGGCTTCAGAAATTTTGATGTTCAATGGTTCAACGACTATTTCGATGTTGTACGGGCCCAGGAGTCTGTCGCCTACTTTGTCGATTGCGTCTGGAAATTGTATTTAAATAAAATAAAACTGAAGGAAATTCCATCAATAAATATGTGTTTTTTTGGATTATGGCTAGAAACTCCACAACCAATTACTACTTTATTTAAAATAATAGTTAAATGAACCAATTGGTCAGCTGGGTTTATAAAGTTTGCATTATTTATCTTTACTAATCTTAATACTGATAATAAAGATGGTCAGGTCAAAATTGGCTATATTTTACCCTTTAATAGGTTTCTATGAATCAACCTTATGGGTTAATTAATGGGTTAATTATTTAAAATAACTTTTCCCACTATGAGGAACTAATCATCTAAGAACCAGACAATCGGGTTACCATGAACCATTAATATTAAGGGGGGAAAATTACAAATGCTGCAATGTGTTGGCCACCAAGACACAATTAGAAAAAAGAAAATTATCTCAATGTATATAAAAAACTAGGTGAAAGATTTATATTTGGCGAAAAAAAAATACCATCTGGGACTCAAGATTGAGCATAGTCAAAGGAAAAGAATTGCATCGAGCTGCAGAAGAACTTGGATGTACATACCAATCTTCACAAAAAGAACATCTATTGACCCACCTTCCCAAATAAGAATACAAACCTTTTGGATATCTACATTCTGAGAAAAATTTCACCAAACTACACACAAGTAGAAGAAAACTTTGATATGGGTTCAGACCATTCTGCAGTAATCCTTACTCTAAGTGATAATGATATTCAAAAAGAAGCAAAACAGATTCTAGCCTATCGGAAAACCAATTGGGAATGTTTTCAACGGGAGTTAATAACTGACCATAACATTAAAAATTAAGAACTGAAAAAGAGTGAAAATCCAGCAAATTCTATGGAGAAACACACCAAAAATACAAAGATTAATCATTGGAAAAAACTAACCTTGCCAAGATAAGAGAACTGGTAGCAGAAAAGAGAAAACTAAAAAAGAAATAGCAGATGACAAGATCACCAGAAGATAAAAATATATTAACCATAAGACTCAAAAGAAATATTCTTTAACAGATACCTAGTAAGGCTAACAGATGATAAAAAAACTGATTATTCACTCTGGAAGGTAACTATCAGAATAGCAGATAACAAATGGACAAGAGACAATCAATAGAAAGCCTAGAACACCTACAAAAGATATTCCTATTAGAAGAAAATGAAGATACTGCTAACGTGACGATCCCTATTATGAAACAACTTGAAATTAGGCTTGTTACTACCAATGAAATTGCGAAAGAAATTTAGACAAACATCAACCCACATAAAGCCCCAAGATATCACCTTATTACTGAAGAAATATTAAAGAAACTACCAAGGAAAGCTATCGTTTACCTAATTTCTAAAGGTACAGTTACATCTGACATTTATTGCATGATATTTATGTCTGACAGTTGTTTATTCCAGTGTAAACACTCAAAAATATATGTCCGAGAGAAATTTTTGTGTGTTTACACTGGACTGAATAACTGTCAGACATAAATATCATGCAATAAATGTCAGATGTAACTGTACCTTTAGTCAGGAAAACCTCAAAATGAAGTGACATCAATAGACATATATCATTGTTACCAATACAATTTAAGCATTTGAAGTTACTACTAAAACCAATAATTGAAAATAAAAACCTGATCTGTTTACACCAATTTGGTGTTAGAAAAAAACCACCAGCTATATTCCTTGACGTAATCCAAGCATTTGACAAGGTTTGGTACGCTGACCTGATACAGAAACTTGAAAAAATGTTCCTTAGATAATATGAAGATGATGAAGAAGATAATGATGATGAAGAGGATGATGAAGAAGATGATGAAGAAGATAATGAAGAATAAAATGAAGAAGATGATGAAGAAGATGAAGAAGATGATGAAGAAGATGATGAAGAAGATGATGAAGAAGATGATGAAGAAGATGATGATGAAGAAGATGATGAAGATGATAAAGAAAATGATGAAGAGATGATGAAGAGGATGATGATGAAGATGACGAAGGAGATGATGAAGAAGAAGGGGGCTTTTTTCATAAAAACAAACTTTTTTAAAATATACAAAAAAATATAAACATAATTATTAATAGAAAATTTTAAATAAAAATATATTACAAAAAATTAAATTTCAAATAAATTATTTTTAAAATTAAAATGAAATTGAAAAAAAAAATAAAAAAATTAAAATTAAATTTTTTTTGATTTATGGGAGTTTCAAATGAAAAATAAAAATTAGTTCCAGTGTTTTTTGTTTCTCGAAAGTATCCATTTGCCAAATTTTATATTGGTGAAATTCTGCCAAATTTTTCAAGAAAGTTCTTTAAATTTTTATCAAAAGTATTCATTTATTAATTTTTTTTAATGGTGAAATCCTGCCAAATTTTTCAAAAAATGTTCATCCAAAATTTGATTTTCATTTTAATTTTTAGATATTATTTTTATTTAAAATTAGTTAATTATAGGATTATTTTGTTTATTTGGAATTTTTGGATATAAAGAAAATAAAGACAACAAAACAGAAGACATTTTTTAAATAAGCTAAAGGAATCTGCAGATATTGACTTTTTTAATTTTTATTTGATGATTATTTTTTAAATTTCTGGAAATTGAACCTATCCCAAAATAGAAACTTGAAAAATGTTCCTTAGATAATATGTTGACATTCTTCAATCATATCATACTCAGAAATTAAAGAAATTAACGTTGGTGTCCCACAGGGCAGTGTACTGGGACCAGTTCTTTACTTAGTATATAACATCGTATTAAATTGGACCATAAACGTGTGTATGGTGCGCTTTGTATTAGAAAAACCATAGTGAAGGCAGTTTTGACAATTGCAAAAACTGTAGATAGTGTACAAGAAGTCGTAAAATATAAACCCCACCAACATCTAAATTCTGTAAATTTTCCGGAAGGTCACAAATTTGAAATCCTTGAAAAGAAAGATCACGTCTTTTTTTTTAAATTCAGTGCGAAAAGAATTGAAAGAAAATATATTTGAAATTTCCAGAACAAGTCTTTGGTGAGTTTTGAAACACTTATAATTTAAATTCAAAAAGAAAGACAATAGGAAGAATACAATTTTTGAGGAAATTATATCCCCTTTAAACAAGAGCATTCTTTACTTGTATATATGGATGAAAGTTGGAATTTTGTTAAAGGTGGAACAAAAAGAATTTGACTGGATGAGAGTATAACATTCATACAACATATTAATACTGAAGGAAAGAGATATATTATTGTGCATGCAGGTGGAAAACGTGGTTTTATTGATACAGCGGATCTTGTATTTTCGTAAACATCCATCATGCAATAATTTAGAATGTACCCAAGAAACTAGTTATTATTTAATTTATTCTAAAGGTACTTGGCTCCTTAAAGGTGCCAACTATTTTTCAAGGGCAAGGGTAAAAAATGATTTCAATTGAGAAATCGACTATGGGAAGTTGTGAAGAAAAGACAGACTTTTGTAAGAAAAGAAAGCAGGAGATTTTGAGATATACCCCCCTGGAGGTATGTACAAAATTTATGTCTAAAATGTACAAGCGGTTGTTGGTAAGCAACCCCTGGATCGTAGATAAAATGAAAGAATGAAAATATTACATTTGTTCAATATTGTTTCAACCCGGAATTAAAATTTATATTTCTAAAAAGTAGGTCTTATAACTAAAAAACTCACCAATCAAAGTATCCCAATAATTGGACACCTCCGTGTGGTACCTCAAACACTTCTGCATCGTAGCGATACAATACATCGAACAAGGCACCCCGCCATCTTCACCTTTACAAACCCCGCAGTACCTCATTTTCGCACTCTCTCTATAACATTCCTCCCCCACTTTCAATTCGCCCAATCTTTCGGCAGCTTCCGCAGCCTTCATTAGAGATTTGAAAAACGTCCTGGTGGCTACGAAAGATCTGCGCAACTGTACGCCGAGTTTGTGGGGAACATCTCCGAAGGGTTTCATTTCCTGCATGTGACTGGACACGCAGTCCAAGTAGGTGTCGTCGAATGTGTACTGCGAGTTGATCACCGTGAACATCCTTTGGTAGAGGATGCCGAAAAAGGTGTCCATGGTTTCGGAAAGCCTAACGGAGCCTTTTTTGTAGTAGGTTTCTAGTTCGCTGAAGAAGTCGCTGAAGACGTCCGAATTTTGAAGGTAGATTTTGCCGTACGTTCGTTGGAACATCTCGTGGAATTCTTTTTTTGATGTTTTCATCATGCCTTGGAATTGGTCTGGAGGAAAGGAAATTATTAAAAATGTATGAGATTTGTAGACTAATTCATTAAGCATCCTTAAATATACCTACATGTAAAATCTGAAAGAGTTGAGCGATATTTCAAGAACTGTTATTTAATTACTTTAATCTTGGTAAAAAGACATTCTACAAACGTTTTTTTATCGATTTCTTAAACATTTTCTAGAAAAATATTAACGAATATGTAATTTGTTAATCATAACCTCATTTATTTGAATTGAACTAATCACAGTAAGGATTCAAAGTGTGATTGGGAAGTGTGGTAGGAAACGTGTGCTGCAGTTGTCATAAGTAAAAGTACGAATAAAAGAAGAGATAATCTAGAAATGTCTAGAAATTTCTTCCGTGTCAAGAAACATCTGGACGGTTCTAGTGGTTCAAGGGAGCTATATAATTTTTAAATCATTTTCACAAATGGCAATTGACATATCTTTGACAGACACCCTTTGCGCAAGCTCAGAATCTCATAAACCTCAATTCTACATGTAAATAACTATTTAAAAATGCTTTGTAAATGCTGGATGTCAATGTATGTTACAGAAAATATCGTAATTTCACAGGAAGTTTAGAATAGGAGAAAACTAATGAACGTGGTATTTATTGAGATTATTAGCAAATAAAAAAACTTACCATCAAACCTCCTCGCCCTTGTTTCAATGATAGATGATATCTTTGATATCGAATTCTTAATATATTTATCTACAAATAGTTGATTGAATTTATAAGCTTCTCTTTCTACATCCTTTGTACAACACGATTGGCCGCATAAGTCACCTGTAACAAAAAAAAATTACATTAGAAAAAATATCTTCAATAACAGCAACATATTATGATGTCTGTGTATTACTATAATTGTCATTTCATCTATTTCTATTTTATTATTTAAAAAATAGATTATAAACAATTAAAATAGTAAATGAAGATATCATAACTATTTTTGTCAAATTCAATATAGCATCTTGCGTACTTTTTTTACATCTAAACCCATATTGAGCAGAAGATAATAAATTAAACTTATCCAAAAAATGACAATCTCTTTTTAACTACTTTCTCAAATACCTTATTAACTAAATTTTCTGGTTCAGTAATATCGTTATTTTTGTGAATTGTTGTTACTATTGACAACTTAAGAGCGTCGAGAAAAATGCCTTGTTCAAATGACTTATTAATTAAGTATACAATGAGATCTACTATGTAAGGTAATATTATTTTGAGTATTTTTGCCGTTAAGTTATCATAACCTGGAACTTTTTTGTTTTTCAGTGATATATTTGTATTTGTATTAGTTTTAAGCTGTTCAATATATGCAGAATCTTTTTTTTTGTACTTTTTGCTAAATTACAAAAAGTCATTAAACACTTCTGACATTTCTAATGGATCTCTTATTATCTCGCCTGTTATTTTTTATAGTTGTTACTTTTTTCGAATCTGAGATTACATATTTTTCGAATTGTTTTGATCAAATAGTATTCCAGAGTTATGTGAATTTTCTTATTCTAAATTCAAACTCATTTGTTAACGAATAAAAGTTACAAAATCACCAAACGTAGAAAAAACACTACAAAACCTATCGTTACAGACAAATTATTTTATTCGGGATGGAATTTCTGAATTATATACCTATTAAAGCTTTTGATTTTAATGTGGGTGGCCCTTTCTGCCACCAAAGGGACATTCCATCACTAAAATAAAGTCATAAAGGTTCCATTGTCACGACTTATACGGTATTGTACAATTAGTTCCGCTCTAAATATTTGAAAGCACATTGGAAACTGGTTGAGTAATGGTTATTGGCACATCTAGTGGACATTGTGTATTTAATTTTTATGCATTACTATTCATTTAAAAATGTACCTCCCTGTGTTAAAATGCAATTGAGAACCGGGTATTTTTAAATAATAATCTGAGAAATAAATACAAACGTTTTATTCGCAAGACCAAACTCAAATTAATAATCCTTTGTCACAAAATCTTATCATAAAAACCCTCTCTGAATTTTGGTTGATTCATCACTTCGATAACTGGCCTGGTTGACGAATTGATTTTCTTTGAACGACCCGCATAGCCGTGCGATTTCATGTGACGCAGGGTACGAAATATTAACACCTGAATATTTAAAAATAGTAAAATATTATGGAAAATCACTTTGGTCAATGTCACAGTTTTTTTTAAATATAATCTTAAGTGCGACATATAATTGAAGAAGGATTAAGAAGTAAAATAGAAATAAAACAATATACATGGAGTGCATTTAAAAAGCAAAGAGCCCAATAGTGTCGGAAAACTATTTAAAAAGTGATCTGTATGTTTTTAAACCCGCATAATATTCAAATTTTTTTACATATCTGAGAAAGCAGTTAAGAAAAAGGCGTTTTCAGAATTTTTTTCCATTCTGTATACCTATTATTTAGAACATGTTTTAATTACCTTAATCCCTAACCAAATAACAGCGCATAATTTTAACCATTTCAAAATAAAATAAATTGCCATAGTTGTGACGAAGTCACTAAATTTTATTTTTAATTAATTTTAAAAATGTATATTTTAATTAATTCCTGCCTGAGGACATGTAGAAGATCCCGTATTTGTGTTTCCCAGGAATTCCCGTTTTTAAACAATTGTGAGTACCCTCGTAGGTTAAAATAGTTCTATATTTGCCGAAATCCGAATGGGCATTTTTAGTTCCAATTTCGTATCAATTATCTACTTGTATTTGTCAAGGTACTAGTAGGACATTTTTTTATTTTGAAATAGTAAACATTCGGATGTAGTGTTGGTATCTCCCACTCCGGATTGGCGGTCTTCAAGCTTGCCTATGGGAAAAGCATAAATTAGGTGACAACTGCGAATTTGTCCTCTTTTGGTTCCCGACTACCGTAGGCTCTCTGCCTCTTCTGTTCCCGACCAGCGACGACAATGTGAAGTTTTCTAGTAGTGACCGTGGCGTTAATATTGTGGTGAACTATTCCCGTTTTTTCTAAGGGTACCGTAAGGTACGAGGTGTAAAAGAGATGTGTTTTTAATTCTAGTTTAGTGGCTACCTAGTTAGCAGTGACCGCCTGGAAATATTTTTAACTCCACTGAGTTTATCTTAAGAGTCGCAAAGCAAACTGTGTTACCAAAACTGGCGCCTGAGCAACCCCTAGTTTGAAATCACCATCTTAGCGCCACACAGACTCCCTGATTCACTGTAGGTGAACCAGAAGCCGTGTCATATAGTTTTGCTACTTTTTTCTAATTTTTCGTTATTTTTAAATTGATTACATTTGAGTACCTATTGGTACTGAACACCGTAGATCTCTACTGGATACGTTCATGATTATAAAACCTTACTTATTGATCTCTTAGTTAACAAGTCTGAAAAACGACTGGTAAATAATTAACTATTCTATAAATTACAGCTACTTAGCCATATAAGCTAATCTTAACTGTTGGCTCTGTGTAACCATTTCACAAGTTTTTCTGCCTACTTATCTCGAGACTAGAGAGACTTCAGACTGCTGATTAAATTTCTCTCTTGATATTTTTTTGTTTGTGGTTTTATTGAGTAAGAAATCTGTTGACAATGATGGTACCTACGAGTACACGATAGATAAACAAATCGGCGAATAGTTGCTCATAATAGTTATTCACTATTGTTTATCATATTTTTATAATAAATAAATTAATCAAAAAATAACGTTCATTAAGATGACTATTGTGGGCACGAGCATAACTAGGATTTTATTTGGAAGGGGCAAACAATCAATATCCAAAACAGGCTTTTGCGTTTTCAAACTTCAGCAAATTATTCCCTTTTTTTAAATATTATTTCAAATTTTCCAAAATACCTCATTTTTCCAAAATTGCACTACTTAAAAAAAAACCGCCTTTTTTGAAACTAGAAAATTATAGACTTTAGGATGATTTGAATTTATTTGTTCGTACTTTATTTCTGAAAAATATTTTTTCAATAAATCACATAAAGTAGCTTCTGTAGTATGTGGATTTAGGCGATATATATTAGAAAAAATGTCCTAAATATTTCGAAAAAATACCTTTTTTTAAATTATTCCACCTATTTACCCTATTTTTTCTAAATTATAGCACTTTTTAAAAAATGATTTCAAGTTTTTCAAAATAATTCCACTTTTTCAAAATATTACGTCATTTTTTCCAAAGCTACATCGTTTTTATCAAAATTATTTCTAAGGACTCACTTTTAAAATAATTACCCTTTTTTTGTCCGAATTTATACTATTTATTTTTTTAGATTTCAATTTTTTGCCTCTTTTTTATTTTATTTAATGTTTTAATTACCTCAATTTTTTTTTTTTTGGAACTTTTTTTATTTACCCCCATTTTTTAAAATTACCCAATTTTTAAAGTAATTTATCATTTTTGAAAAAAATCCCCTTAATTGTCCTTTTTAAAAAATACCCCAATTTATTTGAAAAATAATCAAATTTGTTTTAAACTACTCCTAACAAAAGGGATAAATAATATATTTTTCGCACGTCGTTAATAAATCAAGTAGTACACGTCGCATTAGTGAAGAAAAAGAAGAAGAAGATAAAGATGAAAACCTGAAAAATTTTCAGAATCTCTTTGAATTGATAAAAAAAAAACTCAATACAACAGAAAAATGGTATTTCAAAATCAGTTTTCATCAATTTTTAAATCAGTATCACATTGTTTCTAACCGACCCACTTAGCAATAGACAAAATAATAATTTTCTGCAGTTTTTTTACCATTCTTTTATCGAAAAATGAGTACTCGTAAATTAAAACTAATGTTTATCTAAAGAGATAGACAGAAAGGGAAACAACCCCTCGCAAACAAATTATAATCAAATTCGAAATTGGTTCAAACATTTGGAGCGAAACAAAATCACTTGCATTTCGAGTTCGTCATCACAATAGACCCTCTAAAAACTAATAATTTCACTATTTGCCCGTACCCTCATTAAGCGGGACCACCCGTAGAGACCCCAACAATTTTTTTTTTACTTTCCAAATACGACAAAACGTTTTCATTCAGGTCAGATCCGGACTTCGTTTGGAAAAACAGGGGAGAAATATTATGAAACAACGAATATAAGGGAGATACAAAGTTTATTTTAAATTAAAGACGTAAATAATATAAGTACTGACATATATGTAGCAGAGATAATGTGTATGAGAAAGAAATATAAGATACATTTCAAAATAATTAAAAAAATAGTACTAGTTGAAAGAAAAATTCATCGGAATGTAGAAAACTAGCAATTAATTAAATTAAGATAACAGTGAAAGGAAATGAAAAATATTAAGTAATAAAATCTATGAGAATTCGATGTATTGAACATACAAATAAAATAGACTAACAGTCAATGTAAAAAATAGTCATAAAATGGAAAGTACCAACATGAAGATTGAAAGGAAGGCAAAAATTACTTTGGAAAAGAATGCTAGAAAAACTGAGGATGGATCTACTTAGGAGGATGCAGAATGGACCTACTGAGGCCTAAGTCCACACGTTACAGATACAGGATGGATAACATAAATTATAGGAAAATCTGGAAGTTTCAGAAGATACAAAAAAATAACAGTATATGAACAATAAAACCTCAAAATAGAGTCTAATATGATAAAAACTTCGGTATTCAAAATTAAAACAATAATATATTGTCTTATTTTTGTATTATTTTAAGAAACATTTTTAATTTTAATTTGTTTTTAATACATAATAAAAAAATCTGATATTATTTAATTAAATGCAAATTCTTCTTATCAAATACCACTCGAAAAAAAAA